CCTGAGGTACACCCTGGCCCGTTTCTCGAGCTGCGCCCGGCCATGGCGACGCGGGCGCCCCGCGGGGAGCCGCGGCGACGGGCCGAGGCCAAATGGGCCAACGACGAGGGCCGCGGAGGCCCAGCCCTCCCGACTTCCTCGGTCGGACGGCGAGAGCCGCCGTCCTGGCCGCCCAGGCCATGTGGCAACCTCTGTTGGACCTGGCCCGGAAAGAAACAGTCAACCCGCAAAATGACGGCGCACGAGAAGGATGCAAGGGCCTGAGAGGGCCATGTCGACACTTTGCGGGCGGGGACGAAAGCGGCCAAGGATGGGCCGCAAGGGAAGCATGCAAAGGTGACTTCGGAATGTCGCTTATCCTTACTATGCCGGCTGGGGAAGCGCGGCCGGGGGGCATATGTAAACGAGCTCAACAAGGCAGACCGGAGAGGAAGAAGCTGAAGCGGCTACATGATCCCTCCCTCCCAAAAAAAAAAACCCCAATACCCCCAAGATGCCCCAAAGAACCCCCCCGATGAGGTCCCCACGAGGCCCGCTGAGGCCCCCTGGAAGCCCCCGGAGGGCCTCAGAAGGCCCCCAAGAAGACCCACTGCCCTTGCCGTAAAATGCAGCCCCACGTGTTGCCCAATGCGGTCGCAAAGTCCACACTTCACGCGCTCTTGACGTCCACCCCGAAAAGCGAAAGGAATACACGGCTGGACTGCGACGCAAGAGCAGGCAAGGGAGCAATTTGACATGCGCTGCCCCCCTCCCAGATAAAACCGCCGTGCGCATACTAAGCACTTATTGCAATTATCATTAGCGGACACATCATGCGAATGCCCCCACCAATCCTCACGGGGGGCGGGCACGTCACATCTGCCGACGACCTGCCAAGCGACTGCCGACCATTCGCGCAATCCTCCACAGGCCCAAACCAGCCCCAACACGGTCCAAGACGGCCTACCAAACGGCACAACTCGCCCCCAAGATCGCCCCAGAGGATTCCAAGATAATCCAACGGAGGCAACGGGGACCCAGAAGTCGCCTCCAAGACAGCCCACGGCGCCCCAACAAAACCTCAAGAGGACCCACAGAAGGCAGAATGATTGGAAGACATTGAAGTTGTTTATGCACACTCGCACTTTCGGCCCCCCCAGCGCCCGAACCAGCCAGACAGGCCCCGAACATCCCCAAATATCTGTCGAGACGGCCCAAAAGGGCCTCGCGAGCGGCCCAAGACGGCCCAAGCGGGGCCCGAGACGCCCCAAGAGGGCCTCGGAAGGGGCTCGAGACGACACACGAAGACCCCAAGACGGTTCAAGAAGGTTGCAAAACGGCCCCAAGAGAGCCCGAAGACGGCCTTCTGGGCCCAAGAAGCCCAAGAGGGCGGCCCCGAGACAGCCCCGAAGCCCGCGAGACACCGCCCCACATGATGGCCCAGACGGCCCAAGACCGCCTCGTCCACGCATACGGTTCGGATGGCGCACGCGCCGTCGCCACCATTCCTCGACCGTCGCCCCCCGCAGTGTCGGAGCCCCCGGCTCGTCGCATTGCCGGGCTGGCTGCGTGCCACTGGCGCCGCCGCCGCTGCCGCTGGAGGCGCCGCCGCCGCAGCTGCTGCCCCCTAGGCTGCGCCGCCCATCTGGACGCCCCCCGCCTGCTGGGCTGGCGCCGCTGGGGTCGCCGGCGCCGCCGTCGGCGCCCCCGGCGCCGCCGCTGCTGCAAGGCCCTCAGATCCTGCGGGGATGGTCTGGGCTTGTGGAACCCTCGGTCGTCTCACTGCGCGCCCTTCATCATCTGCAGGAAGGCCAAGTCAGCGCGTCGCAGCGGCCCCGACCCTCGCACCGTCCGAGATCGATGCCAGGCCGCGGAGGTCAAGTAGACGCAGTCGTCGCATTCCGCACGCATGCCCGACCCAGATGCCTCGACATGACCACGCCCGATGCGACGTCACGCCAGCGCGAGATCGGCGCCCTGAACAGCCCCATCTCTGCGAAGGGATGGGAGGCACCACGCCCGCGCAGCCGCAGCCGAACGATGCCTGGTAGGCCGTCCGCCCATCCGCTCGACGACGGCAGGCGCTGGCGACCACCGCGGCGCATTCCTGCGCCCAGGGCCAGATCGTCGTTCGCAGTCAGCTTCGCACCGCAGGTCTCCTCCACGCGACACCAGCGGGCGCGACCGCGCCGCTGCCACCAGCGCGCCGTCGCCCCCACCACTCCGTTTTTCGGTGAGCCCCGCAAGCTCGCCTCCGCCACGCACATCTTGCCCTCTGGGCCATCCATCTGTCGGATGAAGATGCACACCGAGCCCGCCACGCGAGGGTCACCTCCTTCGACTCCGCCGGCACTGCCTCGGCCATGCGAGCGTCGCGGTCGAGCATGATCAGGGACGCGCTGAAGCGAACAGCTTGCGTGGGGACCTCTCCAGACCCTGAGAACTCCCCGCCTGCCCCGATGGCAATGAAGTCCAGCGCCAGTCTCCCCTTGCCGACGCCCTGCCTGTCACGGGTCAGCTTGCGGCGCGGCTTCAAAGTCGCGTCGCCGAACTTGCGCGGCACGCGCCACCTCGCAGGCGGGAGAGGCGTAACACCTGGCACGCTGCCTGCTCTTCTGACGTCGGCCCCCACGGCGCCGGCGCACCCTCCAGCGACGGCTTCGCCGCGCCGCCGCTCGAGCTCCTCCGGCCTGCCCACGCGGATATGACATGATTGCCCGCTTCCGCTTTCGAAAAAAACGCGCCCAGAGCTGCGCCTTAGCCCCGTGGCATGGCTGGCTGAGCTCCTTCAGCCGCCTCTACAGGTCGACCACGCGGCTCGTGGGACGCAGGAATTGATCTGCCTCCCGCCGCAGCGTCGGGGCGCCGGCGCCGCCGCTCCCAGCGCCGCCACCGCCTCGGGCGCCGACGCAGCACCCTGGGCCCCTTTGAGACCCGCCTCCGCCTCGGGCGGCACCGCCTCGAACTCCGCGATCGCCGCGCCTGAGCGGCTCACCTCGGCTGCGCTCGAGGCGCCACCCATGCTCATGGGACGCACATTCCGCGCCAACATCGCGGGAGCCTCGGGGCCCGCGCGCCCGTCGAACACGCAGCTCTCGATGCCACGGGCTACGTTCACCCTGTTCAGGCAGATCGCATTCTCGCGGTCGCCATTCAGGCACACTGCACTCACTTGATATCAACCAGAACTCTGCGCCAGCGTCCACCATCTGCAATCGCAATCGTCGGCCCCTCACGCTATTTGGGCTCGATCAGCGCAGCCCGCGTCTTGCCGACCGCCGCCACGGGCGCTCGCACCGCGCCATCGAGGGGGATCTTCTGCCGCGGAGCGTCGCGCAGCTCTGGCCCGCCCAACGATCAACGCTGGGCCTGACCTGTCAAGAAGCCCCCTGGGCAGCAATGAGCATCCACCGCCGAGTCGACCGCCGCAAGAACCTTCCTGGGGCCCTCCATCGAGCAGCACTCGCCGATCTGCGGGCTCGGGCCCTGGAGCTCGTCATCGACGGCGTCCGTCCTGCCCCTCGTGCCGGGCGCGATGTAGCCTGGACCATCGAGGCGGCCATCAGGCATACGCCACCGTCATCGCTGAACTGGCAGTCGTCCTCGTCGCAGCCGCTTTCCATGTCGAGGTCGATCGCCTGCACGTGCTCGTCCTTCCTGACTGCCTTGCGCGCCTCTGCCTTGCCCTGCATCTTATGGATGCACTCACGATCTGCTGTGCAAGTCTGTCTGCTGTCAAAAACCCGTGATGCCGCAGCCGAAGCACTTTTCGTGAACTGGCTCGTCTTGCCTCTTCCTTTGGGATTGGGTCCTGTGCCTTTTGCCAAGCCGCCGCCAACACTGCGCCGTGCCGTGCCCCGGCTTGAAGCAAACCTCGCACTTGCCTCTGTCTTTTCACTTGCTGGAGTCGCTCTTAACGCCGCGGGACGGACCTCGTGAGCTCTTCGCACTGATGCCTCTAGCCAGCATGTTCTCCATATGAACTGCCCCAGCGTCACATAACTCAGCCCGACCACCCCCGTCGCCGTGCAGAGCATGTTCTTTATGGGGCCAAGGGCATGCGCCAGCATGGTCGCCACCTTCATGTCGTCCGCCTCGCGCTCCCCGCTGGCGAGGTCAAAATCTGCCGCCACCTGGGCCATCAGCATCGAAGATGGGATCGACATGAACTCGCGCACGATCCACCATCTGGCCCCACCCTCGCAGGTGGGCATAGATAGCTCTCAAACAGGAAGGCCCATTGCTGGGGGTCCTCTCGGCGACTTTTTGGAGCGTTTCGGGGGCATCTGCAAACAATGTTGGTAGTTTGGAAGCCCGTCTTGTAAGCCTCTTGGGCCGTCTTGGCCTCAATAGGCTCAAGAAGCCGAAATCCATGATTATCCTCAGATTTGCGCCCACCTTTGAAACACAGAGACGACGTGACGCGAAAACAGCTGCCGCCGAGAAGACGGCCCAAGAGGGCCCCGAGACTGCAGCCCAAGATGTCCCCAAGAGGGCACAAGGGCAGGCTGAAGAGGGAGATGTCAAATTGGCTCCAGGATCCTCCCCGAATACGGCCCCCCAAGACCCCGAATATACTCCAAAGAGCCTCCAAGAGGCCTCTCAAGAGGCCCCCCAAGAGGCCCCCCAAGAGGCCTCCAGAGGGCCCCAAGAGGAGCCCAGAAGGCCTCAAAGGCTCTAAGAATCCCGAGAGGACCCCCCGAGGCCTCCAAGAGGCCCTCACGAAGCCCCAAAACACCAAGAGACATCCAAAAAGTCTTCTTCTCCGCCGGCCATAACATGCGCTCGCCACGCCCAAACTTTACACACACACACACACACTGGACGCGCATCCCGCGGAGCAAGAAGAATCTCAGGCAACGTGGCAATGCCGACTCCACAACAGGTCGGGATTTCAGAAAGCAGAGCGAGACTGCGGCGCGGGTCGCCTGGTCTTCATCTACCCCCGTAACAAGCATGCTGCCCGGGCAGCTGACGATGAAGGTATTCTTGTCAGGTTCGGTGGCGTTGTCAACCATCACCTTCTGAGAAGGGCCACCACTGGAGAAGCGGAACAAACTGAAGAGAAACGCAGACGTGCGCGACATAATGCTCATCCTGGCGCGGAGCAGGCGCCGGGTTTTTTCATCATTGACGAAAACGCCCGTGACCAGCCCCGCCACCAGCACCGTCGGGGAATGATCTGGTCCTTGCCATTCCCAGACGGCGCCAGCGCGAATTGTAGCGTGACCGGCCCTACCCCCCCTGCCCCCCCCGTCATGCCCGCTGTCGCCAGGGGGCGGGAGAAAGGTGTCCAGGTGCACGTCAGGTACATTCGGGAGTACGACATCCATATCACGACTGACAGGCGCGCTGGAGATTCGTCCCCCGTGCAGTCACGAGCATGATGCGAAGTGGTAGCACGAGTACTAGCAAAACCACCCGTCGAGGCTGGTGCCCGATTCGTGCCTCCTGCCTGGAGCCGCCTGCAGTGCGATGGGCACGTTGGTGGGCACTGCGGCCTGCAACCCGATGGGATCCTCCGAAGTCTCCCAGGATCGTCAAGGACAGGGCGACGAAATCTACACATATCCACTGCTGCCTGGCCAGGCCCATCCTGAACCCGGTAGAAATGTATACGCCACGCCCCCTTGGCTTGGCCAGGAAGGCGTATACACAGCTCCTGGGCCAAGGAGGGGCCCAGCCAGGAGGCAGTGGATACGTATAGATCGGAAGTTGGGGGGCGAGATCGAAGTGGAACGGAGAGCCCCCCACCGGGAAATCGGTTTCGGTTTCGTGTTCGTGCGTGCCGTGCGTGCGGGCAAGGCGAAGCTGCGTGGGCGGGCGAGAGGAAAGTCTCCTGTGGCTGAGGCGCGGCCCGACCAAATGGTTCTCCCTCCGGCAAGCGGTGGCGCGCGGTGTCCCGCCGGTGTCCCGCCAGTGTCCCGCTTGTGGCTGGACCCCGCCCGACCAAATGATTCTCCCTCCGGCAAGCGGTGGCGCGCAATGTCCCGCTGATGTCCCCCCGGTGTCCCGCCGGTGTCCCGGTGTCCCGCTGGTGCGAAAACGATAGTGAGACCGATGACGAAATCGATTGTGAGATCGATAGTGAGATCGATAGTGAGACCGATAGTGAGATCGATCGTGAGATCGATAGTGAGATCGATAGTGAGCTGAATAGTGAGATCGATAGTGAGATGAACTAAATAAATCATTATTTCGTTGGTTCCCGGGAGGGGGGAGAATGATACCAAGGCGCCCAAGAGCGAAGGATGACGTAAACAACTCGACACCAAGGCTCCCAAGAGCGAGCGGCGACGCAACAATCACCACTGTTGCCCATTGCTGGCCCCCCTCCCCCCAACCTCCTTATCACCCGCAGGGTGGTCGTATAGGCAAAAAGATTCTGTCGCCCGAAAAGACGCGATCCCCCAGCCTCCCTTCGGCCCCTCCCTCGCTCTCACCATGCTTCCCCTGCTTTCCCTCCTTTAAGGGGCCAGGGGCACTCGAATAAATAGACACAAATCCCAGGATCCCCAAGATGTTCCGTATTTTCCAGGTCTTCATCTTCACCTCCACTCCCCATGTTTCCCACATCTTCTTGGGAATCGACGATCAGTTGTGTGTGCGTGTTTTTCCCCTCCCGAACCCTTCTTCCCCTGCTCCCCGTTTCCTGGGGGGTTCCAGAGACCTCGGAATTCCGTGGGACCTCGCTGGGAACTTTCAAAAATCGCCGAGAGCCGCTGAAGACCCGCCAGCCCCCGGCCTACTCCTCCTCCTCCTCCTCCTCCTCCTCCTCCTCCTCCTCCTCCTCCTCCTCCTCCTCCTGTCCCTCCTCCTCCTCCTCCTCCTCCTCCTCCACCTCCTCCTCCTCCTCCTCCTCCTCCTCCTCCTCCTCCACCTCCTCCTCCTCCTCGTCGTCATCATCGTCATCATCAGCATCATCATCATCATCATCATCATCATCATCATCATCATCATCATCATCATCATCATCATCAGCATCATCATCATCTTGGTCATCATCAGCAGCAGCATCAAAATCAGCAGCATCATCAGCAGCAGCACCGTCATCATCATCATCATCATCATCATCATCATCATCATCATCATCATCATCATCATCATCAGCATCAGCATCATCATCATCATCGTCAGCAGCAGCAGCAGCATCGTCATCATCATCATCATCATCATCATCATCTGCAGCATCATCATCATCAGCATCGTCATCATCATCATTATCAGCAGCATCAGCATCAGCATCAGCATCAGCATCATCATCAGCATCAGCATCGTCATCTTGATCATCGTCATCATCCTTATCATCATCAGCATAATCAGCAGCATCATCAGCAGAAGCTTGATCATAAACATCACAATCAGCATCAGCAGCATAATCATCATCAACGTCATCATTATCAGCATCATCATCATCAGCAGCAGCATCAGCAGAATCACCAGCATCATCATCATCATCATCATCAGCGTCATCATTCATCGTCATCATCATCAGCATCGTCAGCATCCTCATCATCATCAGCATCAACTTCATCGTCATCAAACCATCATCATCATCAACAGACTCACCGTCCTCAAACCATCATCATCAACAACAGCATCATCATCGTCGTCATCATCAGCAGCATCAGCATCATCATAATCAGCAGCAAACCAACATCGGCATCCTCATCAGAATCAGCATCATCATCAGAAGCAGCAGCATCATCACCATCATCACCACCATCATCATTATCATCAGTTTGCTTTTGACATCTACGGCGCCTCAACCAACAAGCTGCAGAAAGGACGCTAAAACTGCAGCGGCGCAATAAAGATTATTGAATCAAGGGTTTGACCTGGTCCAAATCGAGAGCAACACCAGCTTTACAATTCCTGATCGTATTCCAATTCCTGCTGCCAGACACAATCGGGGAACAGCACGCTTTCCCCAAGTTTCACACCTGGGCACTTGGTGAACACGTTCGGCAACTTAAACAAAAGAAAGCGTGCGAATTATTACTGGCTTTGAGAGCGATGACACGATGGTGGAGCCGATCCAAAACAACACTGTCTGATCTGCTGTGGCCACGACACGAACCCTCGGCTGGAGAGGAGGAGCTCGCGGAGCCCTTGAGGTAGACACGACAACTCCAGAAGCCAGACATGCGGGCCCAACTATGCGGCCCCCTCTTAGCAGCAGGAGCAGGAGGAGGAAGAACCCGCTCCAGACCCGGAAACTCCACTCGAGGAAAGAGAGGAAGCACAGCAGCAGCAAAGTCCATGACACACTTGGCACCCTTAACCCGAGAACTGGGGGTGCCAGGAAGCAACACGGTCGGCACCCATATCTGCAAAATGAGTACCTCGCCGAACAAACCTGGCCTGCACTGCACACCTAGGCCTTGTTCGTCAAGGTCCTTGTGCGCATCAACCTTAGTCAGACTGCCTATCTTCGAACCAGCCCCAACGACCCCATGGATAATAGGCCCAGCATACGCGAGCTTGGGCGGCACGGACCTACCAGGACCAAGCAAAAACTGGTCCACGACACAGTCGCTGAAGCAGTGAGCCTCAGCCTCCAAGGAAAAGCTCAGACCCCCAAACGCCCCGAATTCAGCGACCTGGAGGCTCTGAGGGCAGTGGGCCCACAACAGGCGCCGTGACTTCGCACAGCAAGTTTGCATTTTCGCCCGTCACGGCGAGACAGCACCCCGAACAGGAAAGCTCAACTGGATGCTGCAAACAGCAGCCGCCCAGGAAAATGATACCCCTGAGACCGAGGTCAGGATGGGTCTGGACAGGGCCAAAGCCCCCAGGGGGCGAAGCAACAGGCACAGACCAGTCCACGTGCACCACACCGTCCGCCGAGGGCTTAGAAAACTGAACTCCAGCGTGACGGAAGGCCCCGTGGTGCACGCAAAGACTCGGAACCCGTGTCGAGCGCCAGGGAAAGAATCTCGTCGGGAACCATCTACTCACGCTTAGCCGCTTAGCTGCACAGACAGGGCAGAGCCAGAGACGATGCCGAAGAGTGTCGTCGTGCTTCCCGCACACCGCGCAAACAGAGGGCGCATCGGAGCCTGCCGCCCTGGCGGCAGAGCTGATCCGGATGGCGTTGCTGGCGAGGGCCCTCATTGTGGACTTATCCTCGTAGCTGACTCTCTCAGATCGCAGCTTCTCACAAATTATCCTGGCGAAGGACCCAACCATCTGCTCCCTGTGGGGCCTTCGGTGGAGCTCCCTCTGGGGCCACGAAACGCGTGAGGGGTGTGCTGACAAGGGGCTGGAACCACATGCGAACGCAGCCACTCGTGCCTTCGGTGGAGCTCCCTACGGGGCCACGTAACGTGTGAGGGGTGTGCCAACATGTGGGTGGAACCGCATGCGAACGCAGCCACTGGGGCCTTCGGTGGAGCTCCCTATGGGGCCACGAAAAGTGTGAGGGGAATGCCGAAATGGGGGTGGAACCGCATACAGGCGCTGCCGCTGGGGCCTTCGGTGGAGCTCCCTACGGGGCCACGAAACGTGCGAGGGGTGTGCCGAAATGGGCGGGGTGGAACCGCATGCGGGCGCTGCCGCTGGGGCCTTCGGTGGAGCTCTCTATGGGTCCACGAAACGTGCGAGGGGTGTGCCAAACTGTGGGTGGAACCGCATGCGGGCGCTGCCGCTGGGGCCTGCGGTGGAGCTCCCTATGGGGCCACGAATCGTGCGAGGGGTGTGCCGAAATGGGGGTGGAACCACATGCGGGCGCTGCCGTTGGGGCCTTCGGTGGAGCTCCCTATGGGGCCACGAAACGTGTGAGGGGTGTGCCGAAATGGGGGTGGAACCGCATGCGGGCGCTACCTCTGGGGCCTTCGGCGGAGCTCCCTATGGGACCACGGAAAGTGTGGTCGATTGGGACCCCTATTTGCCGAAATTGATGTCGGTGATGGTGACGATAACGGCGATGATGATGGCGACGATGGTGATGATGACGATGATGCCGATGATGAAGACGACGATGATGATGACGACGGTGATGATGACGACGATGATGATG